TGTAAATAAACCACAGTGAGACACCAGTTACACCCACTGGAATGGTTACAATGAAAAAGACAATAACTAGAGTTGGCAACAATGTGGAGAAATTACAGCCCATATGCTACTGGTAGGAATGTAAGATCATGCAGCCATTGGAAGACAGTTTGGCAGTTTCTCAAATGGTTAACTGTAGAGTTGCAGTATACTCCAGCAATTTTACTCCTAGGTATATATCCAAGGGAAATGAAAATATAAGTCAACACAAAAACTTGTACATGAATGTTCATAGCATAATAATGTTCATTATAATATAATGGCCAAAAAGTATAAACAACCCAAATGCCCATCAACTGACAAATGGACAAATAAAATTTGGTAATGTTATTCAACAATAAAAAAGAAATATGATACATGCTACAATGTGGATAAAACCTAGAAAGATTATGTTAAGTGAAAGAAGCTAATCACAAAGGACAACATATCATATAAGTCCATTCATGTGAAATGTCCAGAGAAAGCGAATATGTAGAGCCAGAAAGTAGATTGGTAGTTGCCTAGGCTTCCAGCATATACAGAGTAATGGTTAAGGAGTGCAGAGTGTCTTTTGGGGATGATAACATTCTAAAATCGACTATGGGTAATGGTTGCACAACTTTCTGAATATACTAAAAACCATTGGATTGCACACTTTAAATGATGAGCTATTTAGTGTGTGAATTATATCTTAATAAACCCCTTTTTTAAAAAATAGAAAACAGGCCAGACGTAGTGACTCACAGCTGTAATCCAAGCACTTTGGGAGGCCAAGGTGAGCAGATCACCTGAGGTCAGAAGTTTGAGACCAGTCTGGTCAACATGGAGAAACTCCATCTCTACTAAAAATACAAAATTAGCCAGGTGTGATGGCACATGCCTATAATCCCAGCTACTCAGGAGGCTGAGGCAGGGGAATCACTTGAACCTGGGAGGTGGAGGTTGCAGTGAGCTGAGATCACACCATTGCACTCCAGCCTGGGCAACAAGAACAAAACTCCATCTCAAAAAAAAAAGAAAAGAAAAAGAAAAAGAAAGAATACAAAAATTAACCAGGCATGGTGGTGTCCCAGATACTCAGAAGGCTGAGGCAGGAGAATCACTTGAACCTGGGAGGTGGAAGTTGCAGTGAGCTGAGATTGTCCCACTGCACTTCAGCCTTGGTGACAGGGTGAGACTCTGTCTCAAAAAAAAATAAAAAATAAAAAATATAAAAAATAATTAATTAAATAATAGAAAACAAGCATTTCTTCCTGGGCATTAAAGGACATGGGCATCTTTTCCATCCCCACTCCTACTCCTACCTCTGCTCCCTGCCACTGCATCTGTGTCAGTTTTAGCTTTGGTGAGGTTTCAGGAGTGGCGGGGGAGAGTAGGTACAGGAATGTATGCTACAGAGTCTAGTAAGGGTCTCATTCAGTCTGATGGACAGATCTGGGAAGAACACTGTAAGCAGTCTTGCCATGCCAACATGACAAATTAAAGTTATTGTGACATTCTTTCATTAGGATGATGCATTCAAATCTAAACTTCTCTGATTCTGCCTGGCCCGTTATGATATGGAACCAAGTACAAGCCATAGTTCAGAAGGAGCAATCAAACTCACAAAATCATATCTACCTAAAGACTCACCCATCCCAAGGGGAAAAAATATGTGGACCCATGAGAATTAACTAACAAGAGCAGAACGCAGCAACTAAAGGCAGTTGGTACCATTTCTATCGCATTCATAAAGAAAGCCAATTAATGGGTCATTTTTATTTCTTAAATGCGCAATTTGTTTGAACCATAGGAATGGCCTCAAGAAAATTGAAACGGGCTATGAGTAAATTATAGACATTATCCCAAAAGCCACTCTGCAAGATTTTCTCTCCCAACCAAATTTGACAGAACTGTGTTTTCACTTATAACTGGCTATCCATTGTAAACCACATTAACATACTACGAAAAACTTACTTTCTCTGTTTTTCATCAACCAGCTGTGTTAAGATCCCTTTCAGTTGAGAATTAACTATTCTATGGACCATTTCCCATTGATACCATCATCAGCAGTACTAGTACTAGCCTAGTTTTTAAATGATTTGTTAGTACTTAAAAACTAAATGAAGTTAAAAACAAAAACTTCTAGAAATTTTTAAAATATTTTCTCTAATAACATTTTGGTCTTCGTTTATATGAAGTGTTATTGATATTTTTGACATTGAGAATATGTATATCATAATTGAAATATTTCCTAAGAACCTATTCAGATACACATTTTGCTATTGATATACCTAATCCAGTTTATTAAGCTTTGCAAAACTATACTGTTGAATTTTTTAGCATAAATTTGTCTTCTTTTTTAAATTGAACAAATCTTTAGATTAATGATTCATTTCATTTCATTCATCAAATATTTGAATTTCCCTGCCTTATATATATCTCAGGCAGTAATCTTAACATAGATCATCTTTCACTGATGGAATTATTGGGAACTTTCTCACGTGGGACAGTTGCCCCCTCCTTTTCTGGTTATCTCTGCCACTCTATACTTTTAAAAGTCCTGCTTTCTAGCCTGCTTTTGATACAGATGATGTTCCTGTGCTTGTCATAGAAATGAGTCCAGAAGTCACTAATAGTGACTTTAATCTGATACATTAGTTATTGATCTGCTGCAGTAGCCATTTGCAATGGTAGTTACACCAATTTGAACCTAGCCTGCAGGACCTGGAGTCTAAGTCCCAATATCTGAATTATTTAGCATCTTTAAGACAGTTCTGCCTTGTGACTTCCTGCTCCATCCCCCAACCAGATAAAGCTGGGTGGCTGAGTTGTCTAGATTTTAAGCAGTGGCCACAAATTGTTATCTCCCCATGTCCAAAAGATTGTAAGCATGAGATATTTAGACATTTGGAATTTGTGAGGATAAATTTCTGAGAATTCAAATTTAAGGGCTTAAAGAAATTCTCATGAGGGCAGGCTATGCACTTTTTTTTTTTCTTTTTTCTGAGATGGAGTCTCAACTCTGTCCCTCATGCTGGACTGCAGTGGCGCCATCTCAGCTCACTGCAACTTCTGCTTCCCAGATTCAAATGATTCTCCTGCCTCAGCCTCCCAAGTAGCTGGAATCACAGGCACCCACCACCATGCCTGGCTAATTTTTGTATTTTTAGTAGAGATGAGGTTTCACCATGTTGGCTAGGCTGGCCTTGAACTCCTGACTTTAGGTGATCCACCCGCCTCAGCCTCCCGAAGTGCTGAGATTACAGGCGTGAGCCACTGCGCCTGGCCACTATGCACTTGTGTCTTTGGCTTTCTAGCTCATCATTGAGGAAATCAGTAGTTATCTGCTTAGCATTCAATGATTACTCTTGCTAGAAGTGGTAATTTATTTTGACACAAAACAAGCATAATTTTCCCATCTTAAAAAAGAACTGACTTTAATCCCACATTTTCTTCCAGCTAACACACCATTCTCTAATATCCATCCCATTTTTCTGTTTTACTTTGCAAAACAACTTCTTAGAAGAGCTTTCTTTCTTCCCCCTGCTGCCTCCCATTCTTGCCTCCCATTCCTTCCCCTTTCCAGTTTAGCTGTTCATCTTTACCACCCATTGAAAGTGCTCTTGTCAAGGTCACCAGCTGTCTTCATACTGCCAATTCCAAATGAGGCATTTTCTGGCCTCATTTCAGGTACGTTCTCAACACAGCAGATGTTACCTCTTTCTTGGCACACTGTCTTCTCCCAGCTGGCATGGCACACGGTCTCCTCACATTTTCCTTCATTGGCCATTCTTTCTCAGTTTCCCATGCTGCTTTCCCCTCTTAGATTCCTTCACAGCTTCCTCTAGACCCCTTTCTTTCCTTTCCTTTCTCTCTCTTCCTAAGAGGTTTTATTTAGTCTCACAGTTTTCAAAACCATGAATAAGCTAAATACTCCCAAGTTTTATTTCACCAAGATAGACTTTTCTGAACTCCAGATTCCTGTCTGTATCCAACAGCCTGCTTTATATCTCTATTTGGAAATCTCAGATATCTCAAGGGTTTAGATATATTCTATATTTTGGGTTCGCTCCTGTTTTAAACTGGAATTTATTTATTATTATGTTGAAACCATATAATAGATAAAACTCCAGGACTGGAATATTCTTTTTTCTATCTTTGCTCTTTACCAAGGTGAATTTTTCAATTCCTAGTTCATCTCCAAAATACATATCTCCAGCCCAAACATTTCCTAATCTTCAGACTCATTTATCAAGCTGACTAATTTTTTTGTAGAAACAGGGTCTCTCATGTTGCCCAGGCTAGTTTCTAACTCCTGAGCTCAAGCTATCCTCCCACCTCAGCCTCCTAAAGTGCTGGGATTACAGGGATAGGCCACCACACTCCACCCCAGCTGCCTAATTGATATCACCACTTCCAATTCACAGATATCTCAAACTTTGTATTTCTCTTAAATTTTTTGAATAGCTGGATCTTGCTCATGCTTTATGTCTCATACATCCCAGAGAAGGCTTCTCTGTCCACACTATCTAATGTAGGTCTCTCTTGTCCTTCTGTATCTCAGGTTTTTTCAAATGACACATCGTAATTTGTAATTATTTGTGGTTAATTTGCCAATATACTTTTGCCTCTCCCACTAGACTGTAAGCTTCATAGGGGCAAGAACTCTGTTTTATTCACCATTGCATCCTCAGATTTTGCACAGTAACTGGCACATAGTTAAGTGTTAAGTAAATACTTAGTTCATCGTCCCCCAATAGAACTTTCCAGGAAGTCCTTTATTTACTGTATTCAAATGAATCCAGGTGTAACAGTGCATTGAATTCTAGATATTTATGTACCAGCTGCTGGGAACACTCTCTGTACTTGTTTTGTTTTTATCTTTTGAGGATTATTAAAATCATACTGAAGTCTTTTCCTATTGTAAATTTTATGGTTAAAGAAAATAATTTTCTTCTTTGGTAATGCAATCAGTGCTAATTAAATTTCTTTATTGCCAGGATGGAAGGTTAACATTTCATCCAGGAAGTCAGGTAGTGAAACTTCCTTTTATCAACTTTATGAAGGCACGTGGGACTTCCTTTCTGAATGCCTACACAAACTCTCCAATCTGCTGCCCATCACGCGCAGGTATGAACATCCTTAATGTGAATGGAAGAAAGTGGCTAAACACTGAAAATATATCCACAATTTAAAAGATTATACCTAAAAGTAGAATAGTTTGTTATATTTGGCCTCATTAAAACTTCTTGAATATAAAAGATGTACATGTTAAGGTATATATTGGCTGTGGGGGTTGTTCAAATTGTAATGAATTTTTCAAGAGTAGGAATTTTTATCATTTAGAATGGTGTCTAGTTCATGTGTTACTGTTTCATTTCCTTTTGACTGGGGATTAACAATCTTTTTTCCATCCATGAAAATGAGAGAGTACTCATATTTCCTAGAAGAGTTCTGTTTCCAGGGAAATTTTTCAGGAACAATACAGGTAATTGGGAGGACTTCTATGAACATTAGCGTATACCATAAAGTATTACAACTTATATTCAGATTTACCTGAATTTTTTCTTATTTCAGATTACATACTTTACCTCTTTCTTTCAGTCTCAATTCACTTTTATCCTAAATCAGACTGTTCACTTTTATTATAATAATTTAACAAATAGGCATAGTTTTATTGGCAGAATGTCAGTGACATTAAGTCATGAATAATTAACAAATAGGAAAAAACTGCCATTTTTATAAAATTATCTATTGTATCATAGTTGTTTTCCTTTTCCCCTGTTTTCCAGTTTATGATTGTTGCCTTGGAATCCATAAACTCAGTGATTTGGTTTGTCTGTAAATGAGATGATTTTCTCTGTGATTCGAGTTACAACTTTTTTCACCTATATTTTCAAGACTATCAACTATGTTATTACCAGTGATTAAAAAAGAAATTAAACCATATTGTAAATGATATTTCAATAATGAAGGCCCAGGCATATTAAAAAAAAGTTTTGTTAACTGTAAAGTAGAATGAGCAGTGGGCTTGGGTAAGACAATGACCTGGATGCTAATCCTCAATGTACCATGTCAAGCCAGTCACTCAGTCTTCTTATCTGCAAATTGCTGTGTGTACTGTGTACCTCACAGGGTTGTTCTGAGCATCACATTAAATAATGAGAAAGTGGCCAATGAACTCTAGAGGTCTCAAAAATGTTAGACGTTATTTTTCCTGGAAGAAGTATATTCTGAAGAGTAAATACAACAAGGTTAAATAATTTATCAAAGGCTACTCAGTAACTGGTGTTATTGGGATTCAAACCCAGGTGATCCCCTATTCCACTTCTCAGAAAACATCTTGCTAGATGAAAAGAGAAAGCTGACTCTAACTTTCTATTTATGTACACAGAATGGGAAAAGGAAAAAAAGTATTTATTGAATAAACAATCATAGTTGTAGAAAATGAGAGATGAGGCATAGCACACTTAGAGTTTTTGTGGAAAGCCAGCAAAAGGACAGGGAATAAGGGAAGATCTGAGGATATTGAGGAAATGAGATCTATACTTCAATTGACTAACTTAGAAACTTAACCAATAAATACTCAGGGATTGTTTTTATGATTGAAAGAGGCCTTTAGTCACACAGGCTTTATATTTAATTCCAGCTATATTTACCTTAAGTAACTTAACCTTTAAGCATTAGTCAACTCATCTGTGAAATGGAAGTGGTAACTCCCCACAGAGTATCCACCTGATAAAATGAGATAACAGTCAGGAATGTTTGGTAAAGCACCTAATCTGGGTACGTCTCATTGCAGAGCACGAGCTCTACACCAGTGGACTGTTCTCTCAGAGTAATTGTCTTAATAGTCAAATTGTTAAGCTTCACTTTAATCCCAATTCCTTTTTTTTTTTTTTTTTTTCTCAGCAATGTGGAGTGGTCTCTTCACTCACTTAACAGAATCTTGGAATAATTTTAAGGGTCTAGATCCAAATTATACAACATGGATGGATGTCATGGAGAGGCATGGCTACCGAACACAGAAATTTGGGAAACTAGACTATACTTCAGGACATCACTCCCTCAGGTAAAAATTATAGTCTTCATGAACTGCCCTCTGTCATAGCGTATGCATGTACACTTTTTGACTTTAATTTTTTTAATTTTTTCACTAAGGTGAAAGTAAATCTCTTAATCCCTTGATTGTGTTAATTGGGCTGAAATTTTAGCCTTCTTTAATCTTCCTGAAACATTAAAATTGCTCATATACTAATGATTTTGTTTTTCTTAAACATTAAAGGTTTACAGTGTTTGTAAAGTTGTTTAGCCCATGCTTTATTTTCATTAAATTTCCTTTATATAATGGCTACTGTATTATTAATTTTAAAATCTGTTTTTAAAACCACAGCCTTCTTGCTTCTTTCCTTGGTCAGTTCCCTCCAACTTGAGTCTATTGTAACCTTTTTTTTCTTTCATTTTACTAAGTCCTCAAAAACCAGGCAGCCAAGCATAGTGGTTAAGAGCAGAGGTCAAGAATCCGATTGCCTACTTTTGAATTATAGTTTCTGTTTATTACTAGCATTGTAGTAGTCTGATCTTGGACACATTGTCTAGATGTAGACACTGTAAGTTCTTTGCTGTGAGGATTAAATGTATCACTAAGTTCAGAAAAGAGCTAACTTAGGAGGCCTGAGACTGCTATACTTAGAAAGGCCTGCTTGCAAGGTTGGCCCTTGTCTGGCATCTGGGAACTTAGATTTCAGGAGTATTCCTACTATTCCTTAACTGGTAAGAGTGGCCTATTATGTGCCTGGAGCATTTGTATAATGTGGCTTATGCCAATTACCAGCTTTCCTTCCAGGAGTCTGGAATTTTGGCCTGTGCTAAGCAGAGGGTGCTTATGTAGTCAGCACCCCCGCCAAAAAAACTTGGGTTCTGATTCTCTAATGAGCAGAAACAACACTTCACATGTGTTGTCACAATTTGACGGTGGAAGAATTATGTCCTCTGCGACTCCATCTGGAAGCTTGTGCCTCATTTCTTCCGAACTTTGTCTTAAGCACCTTTTTCCTGATTTCACTGCGTATCATTTTATGTAATAAATTATTGCCATGAGTGCAGCTATATTCTGAGTTCTGCAATTCCTCCTACTGAACTTGGGTGTGATCTTGGAATCCCCCAACACTTGTGACCCCCAACACAAATACATATTAGGGGTTAGAGTGCCTCTTTCTTACCCAGGCGAATGCTAATTGAAGGTTATTGGTAATGGTTGTTGTGATGGTGATAATACTGATGATGATAAATAATAAGAAAAAATTCAGGTAACAAAAATAGTGATGAATGTAGTGGGTTGAATAATTCCCCAAAATTTCATGACCACCTAGAAAGAACTTCAGATGTGGCCTTATTGGAAAATAGACCTGTTTGCAGATGTAATTAGTAAGGATCTCAAGATGAAATAATGACTGCTGTCATTATTAGAAGAGGAACAAGGACATAGGCACACATAAAAGAAAACAATGGGAAGACAGAGGCAGAGACAGTAGTGATGCAGGTGCAAGCCAACAAAGGAGAGATTGCCAGGAGTCACCATAAGTTAGGAAGAGGCAAGGAAAAATTCTGCCAGAGCCTTCGGAGGCTCCTTGATTTTAGACTTACAGCTTCCAGAACTGTGGGAGAACAGATTCCTGTTGTTTTAAGCCACACAGTTTGTAATAATTTATTCTGACAGTTCTAGGAAATAAATACAGTGAGCTTTGGGTAAACAGACACTAAAATAATCTAGAATCATCTGAACATTAATATTGCTCACCTGGTTACTGTTAAATTTCTTTCCTTTTCTGTCCTCCAAAATCTGAAAGAAAGCAGTACAGGACATGCAGAAGCCATCCTGACATTCCTATTCTTTACTCTGTCTTCTAATGCATTGCCAAATGTAGTCAATTTTACTTCTGAATTATTTCTCCAATTTATTCACATCTCACCATCTCCACCAAGCTACTCTCATCTCTTGCCTAAGCTATTAAAATGGACTTCTACCTGGACTCTTCTTACTGTATTTCTATAGGCAGCCAGAATGATCTTTCTTAAATGTATGTCTGATTACATGGCACACTTGCTTAAAATCCTTCAATGGCTTCTCTCTGCAAGTTAGTTAAAATCCCAAATCTACAACATGATTTATGAGACCCTACATGATCTAGCCCCTGCCTACCCCCAGTATCATTTCACACCACTCTCTCCACCCCTCAGTATGTACCTGGTCTTTTAAAACTTGCCTTAACATGCGTTTTGCTACTTCTAGACTATCGTACGAGCTAGTTTCTCTGTGCAAAATCCTGTTCCCCTACTCTGCCCTGCTAATATCAGAAAGAAAGGGCAGGAGAGGAGGTACCTGTAGGAGGAGGAGCACAGGCTTTGTGTCTGTCAGAGCAGTCAGATGCCCAGCTTCCCTGCTTACCAGCCTTGTAACCTTGGGCAAGTTATTTGATATTGAGTGTCAATGTTCTGTAAGAATTATTGGGCAAGTTACTTGGCATTAAGTGTCAGTGTTCTGTAAGTTATCTGTAAGAATTAATGATACCTACCTCATTGGATGACTGTGTTTTATATGAGTTAAAAGATACTATATAAGGATTAAGTGGAATAATATAAAATATTTAGCAGTGCCTGGCAAAGAGTAAGCAATTACTCAATGGAAATATTATTATTATGAAAATGGCTTAACCAGAATTGCAGTCTAACATTTATATAACCATCTTTTTTTTTTTTTTTTTTTATGGAGTCTTGCTCTGTTGCCCAGGCTGGAGTATAATGGCGCAATCTCAGCTCACTGCCACCTCTGCCTCTCAGGTTCAAGCAATTCTCCTGCCTCAGCCTCCCGAGTAGCTGGGATTACAGGAGTGTGCCACCACACCAGCTAATTTTTGCATTTTTAGTAGAGATGGCATTTCACCATGTTGGTCAGGCTGCTCCCGAACCCCTGACCTTGTGATCTGCCTGCCTTGGCCTCCTTGGCCTCCCAAAGTGCTGGAATTACAGGTGTGAGCCACCATGCCCAGCCATAACCATCATTTTCCTAAAGTGCTTTGCATTGCTAGTTACCTTATGGAGTTTCACAAATTTCTCTTTAAAATCTTTCTCCTTTTTAGAATGTAAGCCCAATCTAAAGTAAGATAACTTATCTTGTTTATTGTTTATAATAAAAATTATCTAGGATTCAATGCCATATATTCCCTGTAACTTTTATTCTTATATGTGACATGATTAAAATATGACCCAACTTTTATTTATTCTACAGCAGGATAATTATCCATGGAGAGCAAGGACTTTAATCTCTCTTTCTCTGCTTTATCCCCATTTGCCAGCATAGTACCAGTACATGGTAGGTTCCCAATTAAATTTTTGATGAATGAATGAATGAAAAAGTTATTTTGAAGTACCTATAGTTTATTACTTGATAAACATTGATATTCTGTGTAACACAGAATCATATCACTTGTTCATTATCAGTATTTTGTATATATCTGCAACTAACAGATGATATCCTAAGTTTTTTTAACTTTTTAAATATTAATATTTAGAAGTTCTTTCTTTGTCACATGGAATTCTAAAATCAGTAGAGGAAAAAACCACTTAGATGTTGATATTTGGGGGATGTCAAAAGATGGTTTTCAGGGCATTACTTGGTTAAGGCATATTTTCTTGTACTCACAGTCTCATCAGAGCTTAGGAAATTGAAATAAGCCACCAGGAATATTTTTATGAGTGCTATATATACCCACACAGACATTTGGCTAACAAATAGGTTAAGGGTGCTGCTAATATCATGTCTGAAGGTTATAGGAATGATAGCACATTATTTTTCAGTGCAAACTTAAAAACGGGTCTCAGAACAAAACATGGTCTCTTAACATCAAATTTCATAAATAGGGGCATTCGGTGTTGTTGATAGATTGACTTTCAAAATCAAAATGTAAGTTATTATAACTCTTTATTACTCAAACTGGCCATTTTTGAACCTGCTTGTATTTTCAGCCAGAATTATAGGTTTCTTTATTATTATAATACTTCCATCTGTCTTCTTTAGGCACCAGTGTTGCTATGAATTTAGGAACACTAATCCAATTAAGTGTCCCTTATTATATATAACATACCACACCATAGTAGGATCTCTATGGGCTGCACAGTTGTTTCGTCTATACAATTGTTAAAGAGATACAGGTAGTATTATTCATAAAGATGCCATTTGTTGATGATGAGACCTTGGGCAGTAATTTATCTGCTTAGAATCCCAGTTTAGTCTAATGTGCTTTCACTAGATGACTTCAAAAGTTCTTCTACTCTGAAATTCTATAACTTCAATGGAGTACAGTTAAGTGGTTTATAAATTTCTGATACTCATCTGTCCCTCACATTATATGTATTGTCTTATAATGGATTTAAATTCAAATTTACTATGTCTTCTTACCAATTGAAAGAAAACTTTTGTATTTAATTCATAGGGTATTTTGATTATTTTTGCTTTCCTATATATTCCCAATATCTAAAATAGTGGTTTTCAACTGAGGGCAGTCACTGTCCCTGCCATACCCCTCCACCTCCACCCCTTGGTACCAAGAGGACATTTGACAACATCTGGAGACATTTTTGGTGTTAACAGTGGGGTTATTTTGCTGGCATCTTGTTGGTAGAGGCCAGGGTTGCAGCTAAACAGTCTATAATGCACAAAACAGCCCCTTTTCTCACAAAGAATCATCAAGTCCAAAATGTCTTAAGTATAGAGATTGAGAAAACATGTCTAAAACTAGATGTTTTATGCTCATCAGCCTGCGTCTTAGGAATGTCACACTTAAAATAATTGCCTACATTTTAAATATTGTTTATTCTTCCATATTCTAAGGGATCAGATCCACTTGACACTAGTACATCAATTTTTTTAGAATTAAAAAAAACAAAATTTATAGAATTGCGTATAGAGAGTGCATAGAATCAGGAGGTAATTTTATATAGAAAATTTTTAAAACTAAATTTCTAACATCAGTATAATACAAAATTTAATATTAAGTAGAATTTCTTAAAGTA